TATATATAGTAATTCTTGTAATAGAAATACAAATGTAAATTAAATAAAGTACGTTAGGCAAGGCCTAGCTAGTTAACCCAAAAAAAAAAAATATATATATAATAATAATTTAATTAATCAAGTTTTTTATAATAAAATAGATAATAAATAACTAGATAATATAAATAATATAATAATTTAGATATTAAGAATTCAAGTATCAAATACAAATCTATTAAACTTATTAATAAATATACTGCAGTTTATAAAAAATATTTAATTATAATATAATTATAATATTATATAATATTATATTCTTGCTTATAAAAAATTAATAAGTAATCTTGGCTTGTAGCCTAATTAAAAGTAAAAAATAATAAAAAAAATAATAATAATATTCTTTTTAAATATATATGTTATGTTTTTTTTTAATTACTAACTTATTTATTTTTAATATAAATATAACTATTCCAAATGTATTTGCAATTTAATATCATTATTATCCAACTCTATCTTTTCTAATACTGAATAGATATTTATAATTACTTAGTACTATTTGACAAAATATATTGGTTTAACATATAAGAGATGTTGTTACTTTTATAATGTATACTATATAATATACAAATCAAATAAAGAAATAACATTTACCTAAAAAAAATATATTATGTTTTTCTTTTTAAATACTCAATCAAGTTTAATTCCAAATATATAAGAACTTTTAATAAAATTTTTTTTCAATACATATTTTTAAAAAATCTTTATATTGTTTCAAGAAAAGAATTTATTATAATTTTTATTTTAAAATTGAATAATTAATAAAAGTTTCTAAACAAAAGTTATATTGATTAATTTTTATAATTAATTTACTGTAATAAGTAATATTAAAAAAAAAATTTCAGTTTTTTATATTAATTATATTTTTTTTGAAATACGGTATTTGTTTACTTATAAGATTATTGAAAATTCGATTGGCTGAATCACCTTATATTTGATTATGACTGATTCTCCACCGTGGGTCACGAATTAGTTGTAAAAATGCCACAGAACGAGATATATAAACTGAAGCATCACTTTGGGGTAAGTGGGTTACGGTTATATATTTTTTCCTTTTGCATCTCTTAAAAAGCTTACAAGTACGCGTACCTTTGTGTGATTCTTATCGTGAAAGAAAGGAACCCACGAAAACAGCTCTTTATGGTGTGTGTTTTAATCCGTATGATCAACGGCAAGATGCCGTCTTTGCGGTGACTGGAGGACGCAACGTAAGTACCGAACTGATTAAGTTAAAACAATTTTAAACTGATTGTTTTTGACGATATTCTGATGCAACGATAGATTATCATTGCACAATTTGATAACGATAAGCCTGTAGCACTCGATATTTTGCAAACCTACGTGGATGAAAACGTAAGGTATTTCAATTGAAACTTATTCTTATGACAACAAATAGATAAAACCTTAATTCTGTAATTTTTCAGGAATTAGAGAATTTTTATTGTTGTGCATGGTCGTTTGACCCAAACACAGGGGCGCCTTGGCTTGCCGTGGCTGGTGCAATA